GTTGTTGTTTTTGTTTTTGTTTTTCTTCCGGTACCAGGAATTGAACTCACGACCTTGCGCTTGCCAGGCAGGTGCTATGCCGCTAAGCTAAATCCCCAGTCCCACTTTATAGTTTTTTATGAACTTTACCTAGTGAAAGTATCTCTCATTACATTTCTCTCTCCCACAAGTGAAAAAAAAAACCCTCCTAGAAAAATACTCTTGCTGTATAACAGTGGGACTGCCCATAGCAGCCACTTTCAAAACCATCTCTGTATGATGCAGCTCCACACTCCTACTCAATCCCGCCAACAGACACTTCTGTAGAGCAATTGAAAATGTTCCCTAAACAAAAAGCCAAAACCCAGATATACTCTGAAAATAAAAATCAAATTTTCTTTCAGTGTCTTGCCTAGACTATATTTCCACTGTAAGACAAATTGTTCAGGTCATCTCCCTTCCCCACTCGTCTATTGGTCTTACCGTGTGAGCAAAGAAAGGCTGCAGGATTTTCCACAGCTTAATTTCCCACCACGGCTGCCATCCCCTCCTGTTAAGGGGCAATCGCAAGGGAAGCAGCACCCTATGGAGGGTCAGCTCTGTGTCCCCGCAGAGGTGTGTGTCCTTCAAGGGCAGCCAAGCGAAGGATCAGGGACTCCGGTTCTGTCACAACAATGCTCGGCCCTCTCTTGCGCATGGCCCACTGTCACTCCAGTCCAGGTTTCTCGGTATTTCATACCTGTGTGCCACTTCTACCACCCACTGATTAAGCACATGCTGTGTGGGAACTGAGCCCGTTCTTGACCTGGACATGAGGAAGATGGAGTCTCATTTGGAGCCTAGTACACAGCAGCGGGTTCTTATCTCCTGATAAGATGATAGTTAAATGCTATCAGCAAAACCTCTCACTCTGACACTGCATCTTGTGTGTTGGTGACTTTGTTTTGCTTCAGTTGTTAGTTTCCCATTCTCAAAGACAGTCCTTTCTAGAACAAAAGGATCATCGGTTTTCCTCTGTCTGCTGTTCCCATGCATGGTGTTGCAAGGAAAGGGCATATAAACCCTGAGACGTGGGTATTTTAATGCAAGAAGGTTGACAATAAAGGAGAGGTTCCCCAGCTTAAATCCTCATCTCTCAGGCCTCACATGTCCTGCTGCCAGGTCATACCCTCCAAAAGGGTCACTCCAGAGATAAATAAACACAGTGCCCACTGGCCTATAGCACATGGCCAGCCATATACACGATGACCACACCCAACCTATTACTCAAGTTTGTCTAGAGAAAACCTGACAGAGGAACAAGGAACTCAACTCCTCCTGGCCAGTTTCTTGATGTCTCATTACAGAAAAGCATTTCAGAAGTTCAGGGAGAGACACAGTCTGGGCTACTAGGAAGAGATAGAAAGTGGAAGAATGTGGGAAAGGGACTTCAAATTGAGGAGCTGAAGGCGGCACAGATCTGCTGGAGAGGATCAGATCTCACAGTGGGAAGGACCAGCAAACCAGAGGACAGGACAATGGGCACCGTTAAATCTGCAGTACGGAGAGATAAAGGACTGAAGGCAACCAGGAAGAACCACGGGTATGTGAAACACAGTGACCCAGAACAACCTGATGTTGTGGGAGAACTGAAAAAGAGAAAGGAGGTGGAAGAATCTGAAAAATACTGGCACACGGTTTTCTCAGATAATGAAGGGTGAGAACATGGAGACAGTCAACAACAACAAGGAGAATGCATGCCAAGAGACCCAGCCCAGGTATAATCCTTATGGAGACAACCAAACATAAAGAGTGAAACTGGCAAGCAGCAAGAGTGAGGCGACTTTTCACACCAAAGCAATCTCCAGTGAGAACACTGGGAGATTTCACACCATAAATTCTGTTATCACCAACTACAATTATTGGTGAGGATGTTAAAAAATGTGAGAAATCAGGCATTCGTTGAAAATGTAGAATGCTACGGCCGCTATAGGACACAACATAAATATATATAAATAAATTATTCTATTCCAGGTATGTACTCAAAGAAGTGGGAGCAGAATCTTGCAGAGGTATTTGTGCACCAAAGTCCATGCAAGCACTGTTCACAGTACCCAAAATCAGAAGCATCCAGGGATACATTGACAGGTGAATATATAAGGAAAGAGTAGAAATCACATACAATGCAATCTTACTCTACCTTTAAAACCATAAGAAATGCTGACCACAGCATGGATGGATCTCAACAAGATTATGTAAGTCAGGTGTCCCCAAAATTAGAACCAATCCTCACAAAAAAGGTGAGCAGCAGGTGCCCAATCAAACTGCATCTATAGTTACATCCATACCCCGTCTTTCCCATCACCACCTGAGCTCTGCCTTCTGTGAGGACAGGGAGGGAATAGTATTCTCATAGGAGCATAAATCCTAGTGCAACTGCAAGTATGGGGGCTCTAAGTTGCACACTTTTTATAAGATCTAAAGCCTGATGTTCTGAGGTAAAGTGAGGCAGAGATGCTAGCATTGAGGGGCAGCTGCAAATACAGATGAACATTAGCAAAGAGGTTGACTGCACAGAGCTCATAATAAACCAATTGCTTGCAGATCGAAACTCTACCCATGAGTGACAAGTCACAATTAAGCTGCATCTTGTGGCTGCATCTTATTAAGCTTTATTGGGGCAAGTTAGTTCATGTCCTTCTGTTGTATAGCTCCCCCTGGTAGGAGGCTGTAAGTCAGAATCCAACATTAGCTTATGCATATTTCACTTTTTCACTTACGCATATTTCACATTTTCATTGTTTGACTTACCAAGGCATTCTGCACCTCTTTCCTGCACTGTGAACTTGTGTGAGTCACACCTTTGAAAAGCCCACAAGTTAACCCTAGATAAAATGAGTGAAAATCAAATGTCACTTGAAGAGCTTCTTTCAAAATAGGGGAAAACCCAAAGATAAGACAGAAGAAGCAGCCTCTAAGGCTGCCAAAACAGGAAAGCTGCATTTACAACAAAATACGAGTCCCCCTTCAACTATGGATTCATTGCAAAAGGTGAGTCATGTTCTCCAAGCCCACCTTATATAATGTCTTCTCTGGATATCCAGTAAAGTCGTAAAACCATCCTAACCATCTCACCACGTGGAGAGTAAGCACCCTGAATTCAAAGGCAAGCTTTCTGAGTTTTCCAAAAGAAAAAAATATGAATGCAAAGAACAGAAGCGACCCCTGCAGGCCACCACATCCTCAAATGTCTCTGCACTGGCAGCACCCCCCCCCCCCCGGTTAACAGCATGGCTAAAGCCCTTTATGTTGGTGAAGAATTGACCCTGCCTGCCCCTGAGGACATCTGTCCTGAACATTTAGGAGTGGGTGCAGCTCAGAAGGTGCCAAGTGTTCTTCTTTTGACTGGCAGTATAACTAGGTGAATTGATAAAACAGCAGAGTATTTGAGAAACAGTGGGCAGAGAGGGCTAATGAGTGACGGGCATTCAGTCCAGGCTGACAAGGCTACCAGTGTTGACAACAAGGCCGTGATGCTTTTTTGTGCAATGCACACATTTTGTGGGAAGATGTGATGAGGACTGGGAATGTGCACTTTCACTGTCAATCAGCACCACAGCTGCAGAACTCTTTGGGTCTTTGATTGATTAAATATCAGGAAAAACAAACCAATCATTTCATGTACACATGCACAGAAGGAGTGGCTGTAGTGACTGGACATTTATCTGGGGCTAAGAGGTCACTTCTGATTGTGTATCTATACACTATATCATACATACAGGAATGCTGGTCACCCAAAATATGTCAGCTGAACTTAATGTTTTGCATAATGTGACTAAACATACCACATGGAATTGCACACCCTAACCTCATTCCTGTTGCCTTCCGTGCAACTCCCTGGGGTGAAGACGGAACGTACGTATCTTCTCCATGCCCAGCAGTGAGAGGATTTTCTAACGGTGATCACTGGCCAGGGTCTTTCAGTTACCAGCGCTGCAACAGAGATTTCTTACAGAAAAACAACCATCATTGGCAGCATACTTCAACAACACAGGATGCATCACAAACCTTGTTTACCCTTGTTTATATATTCATGCTGCCCAGTGAACTCAACCTCTCTTCTCAAAGAACAGCCGTGACCAAGCTGGCAGATGAAAGTATGCATTCAGAGCCAAACTGGATTTGAGGGGGGCCGCGGGAAGGAGACACTGGGATGTGTGACATGTTCCAAACGTTAGCAGAGATTTGGAAGAGGCTTAGCCCAGGGCCTTCTTCTCCCTGGTGGTGCACATTCACCATCTTAGCTCTCAAGAGGTTGACTGTGATTTCCCAAACACAAATTCCTGTGAACTGGAAAGGAATGGACCCATGATCATTTGTGAATAAGCTTGGTGAATCACCATTCTCCATGCTAGAAGAAGATCAACTACATAGTTGATCCTCAAAGGACAGTGGGGTTTAAGTGTTTGAAACCACTTCCAATATCCACATGTTCTGACTTAAAGTTAAAGCAGAATATGCTGAGATGCCACAAAAACATTGAAAAGCCTACTTCTCTTTCCAGCATTCTGTGTTTGTGAAGCAGCGATTCTGCAGTGACGGAAAAACCAGAGCAGCGACTGTGCAGTAGATTGGACATGAGAAAAGAAAAGTGTCACTTTCCCTCATCAACCCCGATGGGAACATCTATTGGCAAAAAAATAAGCTCAGGACTCCCACTGATTCTGCATTACTGTGAGTTGCATAATTACCCCACTATATAGTACATGGAAATAATAATAGGTATAAGGGCACAGGAAACATCTGTGCTTGTCATCCCAAAACTGTCCCCACAGCCCAAAGAAAAATAGTTTTCCGTAAACTGGTGCCTGAAGCCAAAATGCTTGGGAAGCACTCAGGTAAGTGAACTAAGCCAATCACAACACTGCAAGTTACAGTGCGGGTAGTAGAACGGTTACTGCCAGAGTCAGGGAGACAGAGTTTGTTTCCCAGGTTTGAACTCAGTCTTGTCAGGCTGAAGGTGGTGGCAGGACCACAAAAAGATGACTGCAGGAAAAACCACGCCACTGTGAGCTCGAGAGTGGGTACCACAGAAAAGGAAGTCATCTGCACTTTGCTGTAATAGGAAGGGTGGAGGAGGCAGGTGACTATCCAGAATAACTATTGAACAACCCCTTCGTACCTCAGAATCGCACAATAGTGTATAACCACTTGACCCCTCTCAAACTCTGCCCTGTCCAGCTGAGCCCCATTTCCCACCCCTATGTGGACTCAGAGGGGAAAGGAGACAGTGCCCTAAATGCAAAGGAGCACACAGCCTATTTCACTCAACTACAGAACAGAAAGGTTAGTGCATGGACGGAAATCCATAAAGAACAAAAGGAGATGGAAAAGGGAGAAATTGGAAGAAAGAAAAAGGGACACATAGGTGTTTTCAAATAAACAGATTCCTAGTTCAGTAGACACATCTCTAAGTAAAATTTTTGACATGTCTTTATGTACCTTTATCCTGACTACCAAGGGAAGGACTAAGAAGCTGTTATATATATTCAAAAATGTCCTAACACGGGGTAGTTTTGAGGATGTTGCTATAAGTAATTCAAAGTGAAAAGTCATGCTTGCCATCAAAATCTGCCCCTTTCCTTCTAGGTATGTATAAAGCAGAGGCCATGGGAGGGGAAAATGTGAGTTTTCCCAGCACTTTTGTCCTGCTGGGCTTCTCAGAGTTTCCGTGGCTGGAGGTTCCCTTCTCTGCAGTGGTCCTGCTCTCCTACATCCTCACCCTGATGGGGAACAGCTCCATCATCCTCCTCTCCCTGCTGGACCCCAGACTCCACACGCCCATGTACTTCTTCCTGGACAACCTCTCTCTGCTGGACCTCAGTGTGACCTGCACCATTGTGCCCCAGCTGCTGGCCAACCTGTGGGGACCAGACAAGACGATTGCCGCTTGGGGCTGCATCACACAGACCTATCTTTTTAACTTGACTGCCTGTGCCGAATGTGCCTTGCTGGCCATCATGGCCATTGATCGCTATGTGGCCATCTGCCGGCCCCTCAGGTACACTCTCATCATGCGTCCCTGGGTGTGTGTGCAGATGGCGGCTATCTGCTGGTCCAGTGGCCTGGCGAGTTCTCTGCTCCAAGCCACCCTCGCCCTCCAGCTCCCCCTCTGTGGACACCACACCCTGGACTGCTTCTTCTGCGAGGTGCCTGAGCTCATCAAGCTGGCCTGCGGGGACACCACTGCTAATGAGTTGGCCCTGGCTATTGGAGCCATCCCTTTTTCAGGAGTGGCTCCCCTCATGGTAGTCATGTCCTACACCTTTATTGCCAGGGCCATACTGAAGATGCCTTCAACTGAAGGAAGGCACAAGGCGCTCAGCACCTGCAGTTCCCACTTGCTGGTGGTCACCCCGTACTTTGGCCCTGCCATCTATGTGTACCTGCAGCCTCCGGAAAATCACATCAGGCCAAGTTCGTGTCCTTCTTCTACTGTGTCATCACCCCACTGCTCAACCCACTCATCTACACCCTGAGAAACAAGGACGTGAAAAGAGCATGGAAGAGGGTCCTGTAATTTCATGATGAGGCGAAACCTTTAGATGCCGGGGGATCTCTGCCTGTCCCCTGCAGCAGCAACACACACACACCAGTGAATACTGGCATGGCTGCTTTTCTGAAGGAATGTTCATGACCTGAAAGAAATGGGTTTCCTTCTCTGCATGTTCATCAGTATGATAATCAGTGAAACTTTTTTGCTAGAAAGTTCTGGTTCTGAAGTCTCAAATAGAGCCATTGTGTTTTTCCTAGATCTTTCCCAAATGTCTTGTTTCCCCAGACACAATGGGCAGCATGGTCCCCACTTTATAGTAAGAGAGACCTGCACATCCACATTCACTGCCACACTCCTTGCCGTACACGGGGCACGGAATGAACCTGGCATCCACCAGTGGCAGAGTGAGTAATAAAATATAGTGTGTGCACAGAAAGAATATTAACTGGGGATTACAGAATGAAATTATTGCATTTACAAAAACATGGGTGGAAGTGGGCAACATCATAGTAAGTGAAATAACGAAACAGACAGACAAATACTGCATTACTCTCCTGCACACAGAAAACAAAGGATTAGCACTTTGCACCAAGAATTACCTCAAGAGGTTACTATTTGAGAGGATGCAGGGAAAATCATTTAAGAACAAAGTCTATGGGCATCATGTGTTTGCTTCAATACACTTTTATAAAACTCTGTGTCTGCAGGTTAGGGAAATTCAGTTTGAAGGAATTCTCCTACCTAACTACGTGAGCAACTCCAGTCCTCGTCTTCAAAGGGACCAGACTCATCAAACATGCTTGTCATCTGAAAATGGCTCTGCATTTTTGATCTTCTTTATACCAAATTTATTTCAACCACTATTTCAAGCTTACTACAAAATGACAGTGCTACAAATGAAGGATGGGATGTGGTTATTTAGTCTATGGGTGGAGCATTTAGACTACATTGTGAAGTAGATATAAACCATGGTCATGAACAAAAGTGTGGTAACTATAAATAATAAAACTTATAATTTGTGTCAACCTCTTTTCAAACATTACATCATCAATCCTCAAAAAAGTCCACTGAGTATCATCTAAAAAGGCGTCTTTTCACGTGTGTGTGACATCCCTACAACAGGTGCTACGAAAGCCGTGAGAAACAACGGAGTGGTGATTGCTGCCAGGTGGCGAAGGTGGGAAGGTTGAGAGAGGTATCCTGGGCTGCAGATTTCCTCTCGGAGGGAAGGGGCCACCCTGCCAGAGGCTCCCTCTTCTCCTTCAGCAGCCTCTGCATGCGTCATCCTTGCTGTCTACTTTCCCTTTCTTGCAGGGGAATTTTTATGACAGAGAATGCTTTTTAGTAACTTTCGAGATGGGACTACATTTATTGTGGAGGAGAAGGCGGTGCTGTGAAAGGGGACTGAAAGAGGAACTGATGGGCACAGGTCCGTGGACCCTAAGACAAATGCATTAGAATTCCGCAGGTGAAAGCCGAAATTATGGCTGATCTTGCTTGCAAACTTGGCTGACTTAAGAGATGCCAAGTTCAGAGTCCCCTCTGTAGCTCAAGGCAGAATCTCAGCTATAGGAAGTATGAAATTTACAAAACAAGTTACAGAATCCCAGGACATGTCAGTACATGGAAAGGATTCCCATTTCAAAAGGCAGGAATAAGGAATTTTTTTAAAAATCTGACTATAGAGATTCCATCACAAGGCAAGGAGATCACTAAGTCCTGTAGCACCATGCCAGTCATTCAAGGAACACCGCAGTGATGTGAATTCTGGACGGCTTGTGTGGCTCCACCCCAAAATTGTTCTGGCTTCAGCCCACGTGTTTTCTCTTTCTGTCTTGCATTTGCTTTCCTTGGCAAACATTCCACGTGTCTGGTACCTCTGACTTGCTGAGGTCTCTGCTGCACCTTCAGCTTCATTCCCGCAGCTTACACATCGCACTGTCACGGGCACACAGTTTGGCATCTCACATCCTCCTCTGAAATCTTTCTGGAAGCCTCCATGACACCACAATCTTGTATTCTCCTTGTTTTAAAAACTAACATCTTGGGTACAACACCAAGATCTGTTGCCTGCAATAGCCAGGACCCTTAAATTGTGTGCAGTGTCTTCTGCTGGTGAGGCCTAGGCACAGTGAAAAGATTGCAGAAACCAGTGCCCGAGGCAGCGCTTCTTGAGCAAGGGCCCAGGGGCTCTCTGTGGATTAAAATGTTACACTTTTGACCCCTTGAGCCTGGGATGCGTGGGAACTTTCTGATTCCTGCAGTGCCCTCAAGGTATGATTCTTCTTTCCCTCACTCAGAATACTTGGCTTCTTTTTAATGGTGCAAATTTCTTCATCAACGGACCTCTTTATGCTCCAACTTTCCTTATAGGCAATTTTTTGGGGGTAGAGGGATTTCAAGTTCTTTTATCTCTTTCTTCTCTTCTTTTTTGCTCTTGACTGTCTGACCCAAGTAACAGACAGTCTGATAGGAACCATGCTTCAGCATGAGGGTTGGGCTGCCAGATCAGTTACACCACCACCTATAAACTTAGTTTTCACACAAGTCTTGCACAAAACATAGTCAAATGTCTTGCCAGAGTTTACTCCGTGTGGCCTCTGATCCAATTGCAAGAGTCCTCATTGCCAACTGAAATGTCATGAGCCTGGCCTTTATCTCCACATTCCTCTTAGCATCCTGGTCTTTTCAGGCCTGACCAGAATTGCCCAGCAGGCCATGGGTGACAGCACACACGTGGAATCCCAGCACTGTGGCAGTCTCATCCAGAGGGACTATGAATTCCAGGCCTTGCTGAGCAACACAAGAATTAGCCAATCCATGACTCGTAATAAAAATATTAAAAAGGCTGGAGGTAAAGCTCAGTGTGAAGGCCCTGTGTTCAATCACCATTACCCAAAAAAAAACTCCAACCCATCTCTGCTTTTGTCACTCAAGTTCTTTGTGACTCTCCAGCTGTTTCCCCCAAATACCAATTCCAAGACTTGTGAACCACATGGTCAGGTACAGTCCAGCAGTGACCCCACCTCTCTGGGGTTAATTTTCTGTGTTTCCCACCTTCCTCTTGCTGGAACCAAATAGCTGAGTTCCTCAGGTTGGAGGAAGAGAAGCTTATTTTTGGCAGGCTTATGGTTTCAGTGTGTGGTGGGCTGGATCCAGGACAGAAACAGTGGGACAGAAGCTCACGATGGATCACGGCTTCTGACCTCACTGAGCCCAGGAGGCCTCACAGGGAAGAGTACCAGCCCGAGCCACATCCCCCAGATGCACAGCCCTAGTGACCCAAGGCCTCCAGCTGAGCCTCACCTCCCAGCAACACGTTCAGCTGTGAGCATAAGTGGGAAAATTCACCAGTGAGTACAGCACCAAAACTTGTCCCATAATCTTCAAGAATCTGTTAGCCCAGCCAAGCTGACAATTGATATTAATATTAATATTATGTAAATATAAAATATTTGCATATTAACATCTGATAACAGGTTAACATACAAAGTGTATGAAAGGTGCATGAAACGCAATAGCAGAATGACAGCCTCATTAAATAAATGGCAAAGAACCTGGATGGTTCTCAAAAGCAGACATTCAAATGGCCACAAGTATGTAAAAGGTGCGCAGTATCACTAACCATAATGGAAAGCAAACCAAAGGCACAAACATACTCCACCCCTGTTAGAATGGTTACTACTAAAAACAGAAAGAGATGAAGTGTTGGGATTGATGGGTAGAGGAGAATCTCCAACACTGTTGATGGGATGTCAGTTACTGCAGCCCATGTGGGAAACAGAACACAGCTGCCTAAAAACCTTGAGGAAATGTCTTATCCCACCAATGCCATATCTGGATATATGTGCAAAAGAAGTAAATCAGAATCTTGAAGCAAATTCTACATTCCCTTGTCCTTGCAATATCAATGCCATGACCAAAATGTTGAAGTAACTAACTATCTAGAAGTCTGAATGAATAGAAGAAATGTTACAGAAGGTACAGATGAGATGTTACTACACTTAAAAGTGAAAGGGATAATGTCTCTCTGACTACATGTGTAAACCTGAAGATATCATGGTAAGTCAGACTCAGAAAGATTAATGATCTCACATATTTATTGTCAAAAAATTCAGCTCCTAAAAACAGAGTAGAAGAGTCATCACTCTAGAGAAAGGAGTGAAAGATGAGAAGTGGGTTTCATTGTGCTTGAAAGCTTCAGGACACCCAATGTACAGTACGGTAACTATACTTAATAATACTCCACTATATACTCAAAATTTCATGATTTCAGTTAAACGTGTAGTTATGTGAGAAGACAAATATCTTAATGTTCTTTATGATGCTAATCATTTCACAATGCTTAGGTAGATCAAAACATCCCCTTGTATAATTTAAATATGTAAAATATTTTTATTTATTTTTACTTCTCAGAAGCCAGGGATAATTTAAGTATAAAAAGTATGTTGAGCATTTTCTGCATTTCCCTACTGGCCATTTGTACATTTTATAAAAATACCTGTTCACACCATTTCCCTATTTTTAACCAATAATTTGATTTTATAATATTATTTATATCTTGCTATTCAGATTCTAGGTTCCTTTCGTATTCCACCAAACCCATTTCAGTCATTTTGTGTGATACTCTCATTGTTTCATGGTCTTCTTTTCACCTGAGGTATATTTCTTTGGGCGAAAATAATAATAATCATAAATAAATTAGGAGTGAAATTCCCCACAGAGCACTCACCTCCTCGCACGGGGCACTGAAATAATGAGCTCCCCGCACTGGCTCAGGTCTCAGAGGATCCGGGCCTCAGGAGCCCCTGCTCATCACTCTCTCCCTCCTGCCAGATTCTGATCACTCCCACTCTCTGTCCACAAAACCCCACCTTGGAAGGGAAACTGCATCACTGGAGCCGGACCCAGCTTCCCACCGCTGGCCGCTCACTCCTGCTTCTGTTCCTTCTGCTCCTCAAGGTGAGTGAGCCCAGGGTCGGCAGGTTGTTAACTCTCTTTTATCCTGCAGTGAGTTCCATAGA